ATTGTGTCCCTGCAGATTCGGTGCTTATTGGGCAGGTTGTGGTGCTTGGTGTTCTGTAGCTCTGCTCTGCATTGCAGGGATAAAGGGATGAATGCACCAGAAAGCCCAGGGTTGATGCCAGGCATCTGGGCACTGTCTGCTGGGGGGACAGGGGCTCACAGGGAGCTTCAGCTCCCAGTGGGGATCACTTGAGCAGAGGCTGCCCATTGCCCTTCCCTACCCAGGGAGAAGCTCCAGCCCCACCAGGCTGGGCAGTTCAGGGGTGTCACAAGAGCCTGTTCTGAGTCTGGCCCACAGTCTCACAAGCCTGGTGTCAGCTTTAATCACCCCCATTCCATTCTATCCTTGGGCTGCCATTGCAGACCTGGGTGCAGGGACCAGATGGCAGCAGGAGGAGGAGGAGGAAGAAGAGGAGGAGGTCCGGGTGGCCTCCCCAGTCACAGGGAGGACACGTCCATCCGCTCACTGTTGCTCAGCCTGGCTCCACCGCCAACTACTCCTAATGACTCTTCAACAAACACACAACAATCTGTCTTCAGGAAAATCAGTGAATAAATTTAACTTAAAAATACTTCTCTATTTCTGGACAGGCAGTGCTCTGCTCCAGCTACTTCAGAATCAGCTCAAGCCTCCACAGTACCCAACACCCAGACTGCACAAGGCTGTAATGGCAAAACACAGCATTCAACCTTCCGTGACCTCAATAAACAGCTCCCTATCCCCTCTTCTTATGGACATGTAGATGTCTTTTATCTGCCAGATGATGTGTGTGTACCTCATGAAGGGAAAAAGGAAAAGAAAGCCTTAAACACCCAGTTGTCAGTGGGTCTGTCCCTCTGTGTGCCCCTCAGGGGCTGCGGGGCAGGCACTGGGAGCAGGGAGGTGGTGGCCACTGGCTGCTGCCCATCACGGGGGACCGACCAGACATTGGTTTGAGAGAGGGAAAATTTTAGGGAGGCTTTTGCTCTGCTGGTTGCAGGTCCCCACACTCTGCACATCCCTGCAGAGTCACGCTGGCCTAATTATGTCTGCAAGCAAATGCAACATATTTACTAAATGCACCGGGTTCTGCCCATTGGCACCAGCCCTGTGTACAGACACATGCTCCTCAGGGCTGCCGGGCGCTCCCCGCCAGGGGAACCCTCCCCTCCTGGCCCTTGGGGTCCAGAGGCACAGACAGGTCCTGCCATTCACCCTCTTCAGCAGCAGCACTGGGCGTCGTGTTTGTGGGTGGGTGGGGAGGACAAGCTGCCAGCTCAGATCTATAATCTGTAGCAGCTTGTAAGAGGCACCCCCTCTCCCTGCCCTCCAGGAGCTAAAAACAGCCTGAAAGGTCCCTCTTCCCCCTGGAAGGAGGCATTGTGGCATCCGCTTGCACGATGCAGAGTGGCAGAGGCTTTTTATACCCCCTAAAGCGCTGCCATGCTGGGCCCTGTCATGGCACACGTGGCCCCAGCTGTGGCAGCACTGCAGTGGTCACTGAGCAACAGCCCAGTGCCCCTGCGGTGCTCAGGGGGGCACAGGGTTGGCTGGTGACACCAGGCACTGGGTTGGCTGGTGGGATGTAGGATGGGGTGAGGAGGATGGTCTGGAACACGTGAGACAAGGGGTAATGGGGAGAAGCTCCTCTCAGTTGTTCACACTCTTCTTCCCTTTTGTAATTTCTAGGAGAGAGCCCAGAGGGATCCAGAGGGACCCAGAGACAAGACCCACTCCATTACCACTGCCAAAGGGACTTCTCGTGAACCCATCACCAGACCCATGGGATGTTGGCCCTGCTAGAGAGCCCTCTGGCACAGCCAGCATGCAGGGAGTCAGGTCATGGCATCCTGAGGGTGTAACAATCGCACTGTAGTCCCTCCCTGGAAAGAATGGAGACACGTTTGGAGCAGGGTTTGGAGCGAGGTGATGGGAGAGACTGAGGCTCCCACTGGCACTTGTGGCACAGCCTGCAGAAAACAAGCTTCACTCTTCTTGCCGTGGCACATCTGACCAAGCCTCGAGAGTTGGCAGCAAGAAATGCTGCCATGGACCCTCCATGTTTTCAGCAGTGACAGGGTTCAGTTCCTATCACAATGTGTGAGGATGACACCAGCCTTTTCCTCCAAGGAGCCATGGACGAGTTCTCAAGGCTGGGCACACTCAGCCTGTCCCCACCACTGACGTTGTTCAGGTGGACAGGAGCATGCACTGGACACTACAGCTCCTGTGAGATGATGGGGACAAAGTGTGTTTTCTTTGGGATCCATTGGAGTTTCCAGCTCTGCGATAAACCTCTTGGATTAAAGGACCCTTGCAGTACATATTTCAGCAGTTCCATCCCGTCAATAACAGGCATCCCTTCCCCAGGAAGCCTCAGAGGGCTCCTGCAGATCAGCAGGGCCGGGACAGCAGCCGGCCATGCCCAGGCAGGAGCCCTGCCTGCGGCCTGAGAGCAGCGTCCTCCAGACCAGGCATCCCGCTGCATCCAGCCCTGAGTTAATTACAGCATCAGCATCAAACAGAGACTGCTGAAATGAAAGGGAAGGACGAGCAGCTTTCTAGCTCTGCCTTTATTTTTTAACCCCAATTACGAGATGCGTTGGAAGGAGAGGCGATGGCAGATAATGGTCTGACTGTGAAGTGGAGAACCAGGAAGGCCTCACATCCTGATCCCAAATTGGACACCTCTGGCCTCATCTCCAGGTTTCCTCCATGTAAAGTGGTGGGGGGATGCTTAGCTCGAGGGGCGTTCCACAGATGAATGAGCTTTTGGGAAGTGCTTTGAACATTTGATGTGTTATGTAAGTGTGTTAGCACAGGTAGCTTTTGTATTGCATCAGAATCAGAACTGCAGCCCAGATCAGTCTCGCTTGGCTGCTGTGGTAGTTCAGAAATTCCTGTTTGGAAAAGCCCCTGTCCCTGCCTGGGCCATCCACACTCAGTGCCCAAGCAAGCAGAGAGGCGATAGAGTTGCTGACAGACTGAAGGGAGCTTGTCCAGACCACATCCCTGATGGCATTCCCAAGAGATGGAGAGCGCAGGGGGCTTCCTGCAGACACTCATGTCACTGAAGACCCTTGAAGAGCCCTAGATCCCCAATTCCCTGGACCCCTTGAGGGTGCTCAGCACCACAGAATCCCCTGGCCTGAGTCCTCCTGAGGTGCCCACAGAGCGGCCGGACACTCCCGAGTGTGGTTGGTGATGGGAATTCACCAGGAACTGTGCACTGCACTGTGCAGTGCATCCCTCAGGCAGACCCTCAGTCCCACCCATTGCTGTGAAAGTGCAGCTAACACAGGCCCTTAAAGTTCAGGAAAACTGAAGGACCAAACAGATCTGGTAAGAGATGAGCAAGAGCTGATGTGCAGAGAACCAGCCAGTTGGCTTCCTTTCCAGCACCTGCCCATTGCAGGATACCTCATAATTCTGCTTCCTTTCTAATCAGATGAAGATACAACCTGAGTGCTAATCACAAAGCACAAATAGGGAGGAATATGTAAAAAAGAAAAACAACCTTCAGAACCTTTGTTTTCAATAAAGTTTATGTCACGCATTGCATTTACAACCTCCGGCAGATGAGCTGATGTTGTTTGCAGCATCACTCATTAAACACTGTGCACCCAGCACACATCACCATATGACAGACTACAAAGAAGCACCAAAGCAAAAGGAAACTTGAGATGAAACAGAGTGAGGTCATTGGTTCCTGGCATATCCTGAAGATGTTTGTCAACAGTTTAATTTATCCAAATGGCTACTGTATTAAAGAAATAAAAGAAAAACTTTGTTTTGAAAAAATCATGATCTGCGGGGGAGAACTTTTGGAAAGAAACATTAACTCTTTCCACACCCTACTTCTGAAGAATCCTGAGAGGAGGGCAGGGTGTTATCAGTGGTGTTATCTGAGAGGTTTTTGGATTTACACTCTTCCTCCACTATCTGTAGTACTTGTAGGTCGTAAACACATGACTGAGATACGGCAGAGTTTGTGAGCAAAACTGTCCTGGACCTTTGCTGCCTCTCCTGCACTCCTTAAGCAATCCATCGGTATGTGCAAGCTGGCAGACCTGAGATAGGAATCCAGCTGATAAAGGGAATGCAAATCACAGATACCATGAGATGGCCCCTGGCCTCCTGTGCCACAGCCAGGGCCTCACTGGGGCAGGAAAATGCCCCTCAGACTCCACGTGGCTGGGAGTTGCTGGGCTCGGGTCTCACTGCAGCATAGGGACACCCTTCCTGCAGGGGCCATTTGTGGACTCCCCAGCACGGAGCCCATCGCCAACTGGCCTGGGAGTGGGAGCACCAGGAGCTGCTGGAGTCCAGGTGACAGCACCAAAAGTCATGCAGAGGTCAGCCTGTCCCTGGTAACCAACAGTGTCGGGATCCCCCCTTGTCCCACAGAGCGGTTGCTGTTGAGGTGACCATCCATAGGAAAGAGCAGCCGGAGCAGTCACTCCCTGCTTAGAGTGCCAGGCACAGGAAGCTGTGTCTGGGTCGAGTCTGGCACATGCTGCTCGCCCCAGCGGGACTGTGACAGCTCCTGGTGCGAGGGCTCCCCTCGGCCCCTCGGCGGGTGCAGGGCATCCCATCCCGTCTGTGCTGCAGGGCCACGCAGCCGCTGCAAGCCCAGGCTTGAACCCCGCCATGGTGAGTGCCCTGGCCTCAGCCAGCACAGCCAAGGAGCGGAACAGGTTGAGCAACTTCAGGCTGTGGGAGGAATAATCCTCCTTGGTTGATTCAGAGAGCTGAGGCAGCCAAACCGGGTGAGGATGACACCGCAGAGCGCCCCGCGGCCCCGCCAGGTACCCCCGGAGAGTGGCTGTGCCTGAAGGACTTTTTATAGAACTGCTGTCAAAACGGGCAGGCAGCGAGCTAAATTGGGACTATCTGAGAACCGAGGCGGCGTGTAGGTGTGCGAGGGATGTGCGCAGCGAGCGGCGGCGAGCAGCCAGAGCCGAGCATAAACAGGTCCGGTCTGATGTTTATCGGGGACTCTCATCTCCTGAGCTGGTGAATTTTTTACCGCCGTGTCAGTTCTGATGCGCAGAGCAGGAGCTCTGCAGCCAGCCCTGCACACGGCGTCAGGGGAGCGTGCCCGGCCTGCTGCAGCTCCCCATCCCTGCTCCGGGACCTTCTGCCCGGGGAGCACGACCTGGGGCTCCTGCCCTCGGCACCACCCCGGACCCGTCCCCTCGCACCAACTGAGTCACAAGTGACTCACTTCAAACTGGGATGCGAGCGCAGCGTGTGAGTTTGCAGATTGGCTGGTGAGGCACAGCTCTGCGATGTAGGTGGCTGCGTTACACACTCCAGCAGTGGAGCTCTGCTCCTCGCTCCCTCCTCCCTCGCCCTCCGAGCAGGATAGCTGCTGGAGCCCAGGATCTGGTTCTTGCAGGCACAGGGAGGCATCTCAGCCGGCTCCAGTGGATGTGGGGTGTGGATGGCTCCAGCTCCGCTCCTGACGGAGCTCTGCACTGAAGATGGACGACTTGGTTCTCCTTGACCTGTTGGAGTGTCCTGTGTGCTTTGAAAAGCTCGACGCCACGGCAAAGGTGCTGCCGTGCCAGCACACCTTCTGCAAGCCCTGTCTGCAAAGGATCCTGAAATCCCAGAAGGAGCTCCGGTGCCCTGAGTGCAGGACCCTCGTCCTGTGCAGCATCGACCAGCTCCCATCCAACCTGCTCCTCATTCGCCTCCTGGATGGAGTCAGGTGTGGACAAAACGTCACCAGGTTTGGCTCAATCCAGAGGTCAGGGGTCCTGTCTTCCCCGCCTCCATCAGGAGAATCCCCAGGGGGCTGCAGCTGCATCAGCACCGGCTGGCGACCAATCCCAGGATCCACATGGAAGGGGTAAGGAAGGTCAATGTTCTTTACTCTGTCTGTGAGCATAGAAAGGTTCCTGCTGTGTGCCCAGAGCCAGGAACCTTCCTTGTTAGCAGCACTGCAGAGGCTTGAAGTGAGAGCGAGTGTTTTGTTTGCAAGTCTGGCTGCTGTTTCCGTGTGATATTTGACTGTTTCAAGTTCAGGAATCAATTCAATTCAAGCAGGAATTGAATTGACTACCAGGCTGAGACAAAGCCAGTGCGCCTTTATCCTTACAAAAACTTCCTAGCAGCTGTTTTTCCACGGAGTTTTCAGGTGCTTCCTGGCTTTTGAGGGCATTTCAGGTGCTTTGACTTTCGGGCAATACACTGTTTTTGACTGATAGCAATTAAGTCCGTAATTGCAGAGCTGTAACTGTTGGTGGTGGAGAAAGTACTTCCCGTCACTGCACCTCAGTTTCCCCCGCATTGGAAGGGAAGGAGCCTGCCCAGTGATGCTGCTGTTCCTGCCAAAGTACTTGGAGGTTCACTAGCTAAAAATGCTAAACTTGACGCACTCACTGACTGTACCTAGGGATGAGTTACTAGGCTAATTTTAAAATTCAAACTTCTTTCTGTCATTTTCTTTAACAGTACAAAAGCTTTTCTTGAATAATGAGGACATGATATCAGACCTGTTAAAGGAGCTTAGCTCACATGGAATTTGGGGTAGAGACTTGTGGTTTTTCACCTTTCCTGCATTATATTCCTGGGCTTCCATTTTTCCCACCTGAACTATTCTTCTGTACAATGTGTCTACAAACCTTTTCATGACAAAATCTCAGCTGAAAGGGCTGTTGTGTCCCAGAGCACTGGTCAGGACCACAGAGCTGTAAATGTCCAGGCAGGCACAGGACAGGTGTCCTCCTCTGCACCGTGGTGTCCTTGGTGTTCTGGAGCCGTGCACATGTGCGGGTGTTGCTGGGGGAGGCTCTGTGTCCTGTGGCCACGAGCTGGAACGCCTATCCCAGGAAATCTCTGTGGCGCCGATGGATCGCACCCCAAAACCCGTCATCCCTCCAGAGCTCCTCTCTCAGGTGTTCCCACTGGACCGTGTGGCAGTGCAGCTCTGAGCTGTGGGCTCCAGGTCCCTTTCCCAGGAGTGCTGCCTGGCCACAGCACAGCCAGGGGTAGGGGGGTAGGGGTGGGAGGGCAACATGGTCCAGCCCAGAGCGTTCTGCTGCAGCAACAGGAGGTGCCTGGGGGCCAGGTGGGAGGGCGGAGTGCTCCTTGGGCTGCCCACAGATCAGCAGGAGCCCCCCACGTGGGGACCCTGCTCCATCCGCAGGGACACTGCTCTGACTGTGGGGACCCTGCTCCATCCGCAGGGGCACTGCTCTGACCGTGGGGGCCCTGCTCCATCTGCAGGGGCACTGCTCTGACTGTGGGGACCCTGCTCCATCCCCAGGGCTGCTGCAGCAGCAACACCCTTGCTGGGATCCACCAGCTCTCCAGGGAAGTTGCAGGAGCTGCTGGTGCCGTTCGTGCAAGGTACGAACCATCCAACAGCGACAGGTTTCAGTCACTGCTATCCCAGGCTGACATTCCAGCTGTCAAGGAGGTTGTAGTTTTTCCAACTGGACTCCCCTGGATAAAAAGCACAAAATCGCTTGTCTAGCTTTCTTTTCTCTCACTTGTTTCATGGGTTTTTTACTGGTTCTCAGGACAGGTAGGAACTTGCTGCTGATATATAATATCAACATCCATCAATCTGCAGCTCCCAAAAGTTTTCAAGATGAGTTTTAGGACCAGACTCCTGGGAATCAGCAGAGACAGCAAACGATGGGGTAGCAGTGGCTGCAGCCAGCTCCCTGGCACTGGGACAGCCCTCTGAGCTCCTGTGCCTCTCTGGGAAGGGACATAAAACACATTACACTGAAATGCTCTTAGACTTAATTAGTTACTTAATTATAAAACACTTTGTAATCCTCAGCTGCAAGGTGAAGAATGCAATGTATTAGTCACGTTTTGGTTTTGGTGGTTTTAAATACCTGCATTCGGGACCAGCCGTTACTTGGGTGCTCCAGTGGGATGTTAGTGGATTTGGAGCCTCCCCTGTGCTGGCACCTGGTCACAGCAGGGACACGTTTGCCTGTGAAGTGCAAAGACCAGACACTGATGAGGGTGACTTGCCATCACGCTACACCATGGAGTGCTTGAGTTCCAGGGTATTCACCTGAAGGAATCGGAATCTGGGTAAGCAGAGGCCTCCAGATGGTGTGAACCTCAGAGTAGATGCTTTTTGTCAGGAATCTGCAGTGAGACTGCACAGTGAGAGCAGCTACTGTGCAGTCCTGCTCACCCTACCACAGTGCTCCCCCAGGTACTTGGAATTGCAGTGTCTGTGTTCTACTGCAGTGGAAGGTTGTGTGCTCCCCAAAAACAGACTGCCCTCGTCTGCAAGGGCTGTTAGTTACCCTTAATGCTGTCCAACACCTTGTGCTACAAAGCAAACACAATTGACATGCCCCACGTTGTACTGCAGCCAGAGCTGCCATCCAACATGGGATATGGGCTGGGGTTTGTTTTTATCAAGGCTGTTCTATAAATAAACTTCCTTTACTCCCTGGAGCTGAGAAAATCACAAGTTTGATCAAAGTTTCTCTCTCAGCAGAGATGTTTCCTTGCCAGCTCTTTGCTCTTCATCCCCATAAGCATCCATGAAGGCAAAAAGTAATATAAATCCCTTGTTACCCAGCAAGCCAAGAGCTCCTCTCATTCTGAGCAGGAAGAGTGAGCAGGCCCCCACGGGGCTGCTGGATTAGCACAAACACAGCACTCTGTTTTTAGCCAGGAATTTCCCAGAGCCAGTTGTTAAAAACCAGGGAATTTTCTAATTACAGCCCATCACAAGCTATTTATTTGCTGGCATTTAAATCCCTTTTGAATCCACTTCCTAGGAGCTACCGTGGGGTGGGCACGTGCTGGGTTTGGGCACGTGGGCCCGGCCGTGTGTATCCACAGCCCGGCTGTGCTGGGTCCTGCACTGCCTTCTTGGAGCAGCCACTCGGGCAGTGCTACCCTGGTCCCTTGGCACCGACCCCCTAGCACTGCCCAAGCCCCCAGCCTGAGCCCCTGGCACTGCCCCAAGCCCCCAGCACCTCCCCACAGCTGCTCCCGGCACCTCGGGCCAGGCCTTCAGATCTTTAACATCAATGCAGAGAGGAGAAGGTTTCGGATTTTCAGGATCTCCACATAATAAACTGTCTGGAATTTAAGAATAAAAGGATCTGCTGGGAGGTGTATGCGTAAATAAGCCACGCTGAAGCCTTTGAACTCTTAGGAACCGCCCCTGGCATGTGCCAGGTGTGGTTAAGGCTTGTGCTGAGGCTCCTCCTCAGCCGCTGCAGCCCCACCGGGAGCTGAGCGCGGCTCTGCCGCCGGCCAGCGAGCAGACCGTGTGTGCTGAGGTGTGCAGGAACCATCTCTGATGGGGTGGATGACCCAACTGCGCCCTGCACACGGCAAAACTCCATCCAGGCCACTAAACAGCTACTTGGGCGCTGAACTTTTGTCATGCAACAAACATGGGACAGTGAGCTAGAGGAGAAAAATTCCAAGTATGACAGCTTGCCTTGGGAAAACACGGACCACGCAGATTTAACTGTGACTTGGGCTATTCTATCTTTGCATGAACTGAGTGCTTAACACCCCCCTCCAGCATTTTATGGGAGATAGACAGATAACACCTCTATTGGGATAAAAATACTCTGCACTCCAACGTCCCACCTTCACACGGACGTCTATAGATAGCACCTGCATCTTGGTATTTTCTTCTCCTCCAGAATCATCTCCAACTCCTTTCTGGATTTGACAGACAGCACTTGGATTGCTGGAGCTTCTTGAAGTCATCTTCAAAGCAACCTCCATATTTGCACCCACCGGAGGCAAACGCATTTCCTGGCCCACTCACTCAGCCAACCCCCACCTCCTCACCCTCCCAAAACCCCCAGCAGTTCCCATGCAGTCACGGAAATGACCTTAAAACGTGTCACATCCCCTTGAGCTGGACAACCACTGCAGGGACCTCACAAACCCGGGGATGCTGTCCAGGCCCAGCTCTGTCTGGGGGGGTGGTGCTGGCTCCTTTCATGCCAGAGACAGGGAGCATCCTCTTGCCCCACAGCTGCTGGGGGTGGCAGGCCTGCACCATGGGGCCGCTCAGCTGGACACGGAGACACTTCATTTGGCTACAGAATTCTGTGTGGCCTTATGGCCTTTCTGGAGAAAGGGCTTGTCCCAACTCTCCTCCACCATCACATTTGTCTCTTTCTAACAGAACAAGGAGCTGCTCCTGCAGTTCTGGTGGCACCTGGTGCAGGAAACTGGTGTGTGTCTTTTGTCCCTTTGCATGTAGTTTTAGCACTTTTATCTACTGCAAAGAGAGTGGGGTCACCTCAATATAGACTGGTGGACAACACCACCCCCAAAAGCTGTGTGTGCAACAGTCCAGGCGTAGGGCACTCCTGGGTGGTACCAGAGGCGGTGGAAAGCCAAAGGACCTCCATGGCCAACAGCAGGAGCCAGTTTCCCTGGTTTTACAAAATTAGGTACCAAGCTGCAAACACATAAAAGTGTTTTAATTTGTTTCCAAGGCAATGAGTCAGGCTCAGATGGCGAGTCAGGAATAGCACAGCAGGGCTCCTCCACGAGCTCACCTGCACAGTGCCGTGGTCAGCCAGGAGCCTCAAAGTCTGAGTCCTGCTCTTCCCACAGCTTCCCTGCTGGTCACCGGCTATTGTCCCAGGGTCCATGGAGTCAGTCACTGGCCTGAGTTTGTCATGTTCCCTCTGGAGGGAAGGGAGAAGAGGAGGCAGATTCCCATGCAGCTCTGCAGTGTGCTAGGCTGGATGTAGCAGGTGTCCTGAGACAGGTGAAGGCCCTCCCTGCTGGCAGCACTGCCTTAGCTTGCAGAGTGCCTGGGCCCGGTGCCCATGGGCAGAGGTGGCTGTGCTGCCCAGGGCTGGCAGTGCTGGCTGAGGAGCCACA